CGAGGTTATATGCAGAACCTCCCCAAAAGGATCGGCATATAACCTCGAAGACTACATCGAACAAAATCACCATGCACGCTCAACCTGTGTCAGCTCTACGACAGAAAGCGGATAAAATGAAATCCTCTAGCAAAATCATTGATATGGACAACTAGCGTAGGGTCCTGCGAAGCGTGCTGCCATGCTCGTTAGGCGTTCTGACTGAAACGGAGAAGAGAAATTCAATGAAAGACCGGGCCAAGGCAGGGCTTTGTTGAGCAAACTTCCGTTCAGGTCAATAAAAATTTTGTTTCTCTGAGACCGCTTTTCTGGATACAAGTACTTGATTTCAATGGTGCAGATGATGCTGTTCATTATTAGAGGAATAGGCCAGGATTCGACGATAATCCTTCACCAAAAATCTCGTGGCGGTTTCCTAAGATATGGGGATGCGTTACCTCATCCCGAGTCCCACACCTGGAGTTTCTCTTCTCATGTTTCAGTCACAACGCCTAATGAGCATGGCAGCACGCTTAGCAGGACCCTACGCTAGTTGTCCATACCAATGATTTTGGTAGATGATTTCGCCTTCATCCGCTTTTTGCGATAGAGCTGACACCAACTGAGCGTGCATGGTGATTTTGTTCGATGTAGTCTTCGAGGTTATATGCCGATCCTTTCGGGGAGGTCTTGTGATTATCCTGGTACTCTCTTATTTCTATCCGTAGTGAGAGTTTGGAGTACCAGGCTACGGTTTTCCTTGAACTCCAAAAATGGCTTCGATGGTCGTGGTAGAGCCATCAGGCGCATGTAAAAGCATCGTCTGGCTTCCACTCACGGAGGGGAGGAGATCATTCGAAACCGCAGTTCCAATAGAGTTGCCATACACTTAATAAGAGCTACTTCCGTTGATGGTTGGATAAAAAAATTCACAGTAAAGGAGAATTCTGAGGGGTGTCCTATGATTTTGCAACGGCTCCAAAATCAAAAAATTTGTCTAAAAATACGGAAAACTATCGGATAACTGGTAACTTGTGAGTATAGGTTTTTCATAAGGCGGTTCTGATTTTACAGGTTGCGATGAACGACGTTCTCTAGAAGCCGAGATATTCATATTTTTGGGGGGTGTCCTATGATTTTGCAACGCACTGTATGAAACTTCGCCATCGGAGGGATTCAGGGCCCTGTGCACACTGAGTGGCCTCACAACTGGAATTTCAGCGAAATTTTTCATTTCTTTCAAATTGTAGTGATGAGCGCGCCTGGGGTTGTAATAGTGTCGCAGTAGCCAAGCTGTCCAAGCTTTACAATATTCGGGGAGACGATAAATCACAGACCTTTTTGTAGTACTCCCAGTCTTTCGATAACGGTTTATCTCCTTCGAGAGTTGATTTCGACAAGTAGAACTCATATGGAGGCTCGTACTTCTTCTTGTCCTGATAGAACATACCCTTCTTCCAGAAGGAGTAGTCGAATTCGCCCTTTGCTAGTTTCTCCTTAAATACCCAATACAGATCACCAAACCAAAACGAATTGAAAAAACAGCTAACTAAGCAAATATGTCTTCTCCAAAAATGAAAACGTTAGCACTACTATATCACTTGGAACTAAGAGCCGAAAAAGTTGTTATTGGAAACTTGGATTACATGGCTAGTTCTACAGTGCTCAAGAGCCAATGGATCTGAATTCTGACTCGATTGAAATCGATAAGATTTAGCCTTCCGCATGTACGAGCAACATTCCTATAGATTTCCAATACGAGTTAAGGCAATCGTTCAGCGAAAGCGCACCGCGTTTCTGGGTCCCCTACCATAAATTGCACTCGCAACCGTTCCTACTGTGTCAATCAGCCATCACAGGAAAGTTTTAAAGTCCCTAAAAATCACGGACCATTCAAGCTTTTACCTTGAATAAAAAGGTTTTTTGTATTTTCTCAGTGGGGAACTTGATTAGATTTTGATCCTTGTAACTTTTCATTGCAGAAGGTTGCAATATTCTTGTAATACATGGGAGATAGAGATGTGCAGTTGTGGTTCTTCACAGCACATCGTTTTTTGCCATTTCCTATGAGTAAGCGCTGGTCGCAAACTAGACAGTAAATATAAGTCGTTGTGCACAAATTTATACAACTCTACTTCCCCAATGTCAAATAAGGCTGCTCGTTTTCGGTGGCTGAGGGAAACGTGAAAAATGTAGCCATGAAACTTTAACAAAACCTTGTGCTCTCTAATCGCCCTCTGTCGTTCCTCCATGATTTCGGGATGACGTCGTTCCCAAATAAGCCTGTGTTTCTGCTTCATGTACGCATCACGAACATCGGCTTCCGAGCCCAATTCACCGTACTTTATAAAGAAGTTCAGCTCATTCTCTTCTAGATCCTCAATGACCTACAAAAATTTGATATTACGAAAAAACAAGATATGCTTTTGCAAGCTCTCTGAATGCAAAAGTGAAAATTGTGGGGCGGACCTTGGCACATGGGGAGTAGTCCGGATTATGGTAATTCAAGCAGCGGTCAACACGGTGACGAAGGGTCTAAAACGAAAAAATAATCAGTAATGTACAATATCTCACTCGAGGAAACTACTCTAAAAAACGTACTTGAAGGATGAAGCCGTCAACCATCTTATCGAGACGATATTGTTCATTGGCTTCGAAGAAACATGCCTGAAAACAGTTTGATGCAGTAGAGTCACAGCTCTAAACTGGACACCCAGGTGATTAACGAAGCGGATAGTCCTCCTAGTCAGTGAATTCGACCGTTCTCATTTGTTACGAAATGCTTTTGCTCAGTCTACAGAGATATGCTGTTCAAAAGTGATTGTCTCAATGTATGAGTCTTTGACGCAAGTGGAGCTGGTTCGAAAAACTACATAAAAGCTCTCACTCGACGAAAAGAGGGTAAGTACGTTAAATATACCACAAACCAGAACATGAGACCACGACAATTAGCTCTATATAGCGAGCCGTCTATTTGCAACTCCGGCTGCAAGCAATACTCACTTTCCTTGCCTCGGTCCGTGACGGCAAGTTGAAGCATAATAAAATTTGTTCAAAATCACTTGGGACATTTAAAAAAGACGAATATTAGGAAATCAAATTCTACAAGTATAACATGAAAAAGAGCCATTTCGCCAATTAGGATCAGCCTTTGGGAATGGTGGATCCATCGATACAACACTCTCCATTGCAATCACTTTGTAGTACCTTTACCCGCTTGCCCAAGCAATTCTATTAACATGTCAGTTTTCACCTGGACGGCAGTGAAATGACTCTCATATGTGCTCTTTACCCCTCACCAATCGTGACAATGACACTAGGTATTGAGCTTACCTTATCGTTCACACCACACTCGTCAATTTCAGGCACTCGAGTCAATTTACGCTGGTAATATGGCAAGCGATTCCTATTATTGATGGGTTGAACAACTGTTTCTGAAAAAAAAAGAAGTGAGTGCTGTTAAAACTTGTAGAAAACGCTTTGACAATTCCTTCCTCTCCGCCAGATCTCCACGATGTCTAGGGAAGTACTGCAATGGTACTGAAAAATATTACATTCTACGTACCTCTAAACCATGTGGCAGGAGCATCAAATGCCTTGTGAGCATAGTATCTCATTCGCGGGAAGATTGTTCCGCGAGAGTCGAGGTCACGTAGCTGCCAGTAGGCATCCCACGCAGCTTTGTCTTCAGCCTGGCGTTGCTCTACCAGACTGCTGGATACCATCCCTCCCCTTGATAAAGCATTCAAATGCGAAACAAATTTTTGAAATTTCAAATCACCTGCAAAATATTTTGAAATGAAGGAAGAGTATCGCGAACCTGACGCCGATAGCAAAACTCGCGATGAAATTTGAAATTTTTTAACAGGAACAATTAACAATATTAGGTGAAACTGTAAAAAAATAGGAAATGAAGAAATGGTCCAATGGTCAGGTTATAGCAGAAAAATGGATAACCTAATACAGTTCTAAACACCACAAGAGAGTACCTAGAGAAAACCAATCACACAAGCTATATAATTTCAGATTAGAAAATGGGTAATAATAGTATACACTTGCGGAGATTTTGGAACAAACCCGTATACAGTGAAGAGTAGGCCATTTTAATTAGTCTCCATGTTATCTCCTTCTTGCATTGCACCGACAGTTGGAAATCCTTTTGATTTTCGAATTTCATCTTCAACGTACGCTGGTATGTCGCTTTCCAAAACATACTCCGACCATTTGATTATATTGTAAATCGTGATAATCTGAAACTAAGTTCGTTAACAACATGGTCACTGTGAATATAAAAGATCAAAAAAGAGCATGAGAAGATCATGATGAAAGCACAAACATCTTTATGTACGGCTCCTTTTAGCCATACTCGGCCATTTAGTCCGACAGTAATTTCAAACTTGTAATCCTTCCCCAAAAGTTTTAACAATTGTGAATGACTTGATAGAAGCCTCCGCGCCAGATTGCAAGACACCTGAAGCAGATGGTAGTAATAACCGTAGCAGCAGATTCCTTTGAAATGCAAACAGTTCTGGTGCCAACTCAATTACTCTACACTTGCAAAGACTTCATTAGGTAAATTAGGATCAGAATCCTTTTCTGTAGCCAAATTCAATCTTTACATTTAAGGTCGCGCGGCGTTTCCTTCAAATTCACTATCTGGCATTGAATGCCTCTTCATCTGCGGAACGTACATCTCTTCAGAGAAAATGTAAACTGTAAAAAGACAGGGTATGATCGCTAGGATTCTTACTAGAGGTATACCGCACCGATTTGAAATTTGAAGGTAGATGCATGTATGTGTGAGGAAATGAGCTTTACTATATTGATACTCATATCACCTATGCTCCTCAAGTTCGATCTTGTTCTAAGGAGTATAACCAAGCTAAACATGGTTGAGAAATGTGCCAGAAGTAGCGGCAAATATGGAAATTTGAGATACTTAAAGTTACTACCCACTTAATTGGATTATATGAATTATGAAGCAAACTAACGATTCAAGCAATTACTTTGAACAAAAAGCCGCCAGACAGAACTCCTAATCCTCGTGCTCTTGAAACTGCATCGACACATGTCAGCTCCACATCTGCATGAGCGAATTCGTCCATAACCTGAATTTGGAAGATTTCACATGAAATAAACTAGAGGGCACTATTTCAAATCACATCAGTTTTCAGTGATTTTTGGTTCATAGGGGCACACAAAGTTCCAAAGAACCACAATTTGTGAAACTGAAAAAATTTGTACTCTAAAGAATTACAACAGGTTCGTAAAAATTCACAAAAACATGAACTTTCTAAAGAGAATTTCAACAGGCGAACTAGAACCTACAACCCCTCTCATCCGGAAACACTACCATCTTATCTAAGATCACATTTCTTCTCCACAGAGGCAAATACGGCTCCCTTGTCAAGAAATTCTGGACCTGGTCCCGTGGCGTAGAACCACTTGAAATCCCATCATAAAAGTGTTTAAAATGCACACTCATAGCAATATGAGTTTTATAAAAAAATAGCGAAGTCAGTGGAAGGGCTAACCTGAGCGTACACCACATCACCAATTTTCAAATCAGGTCGATTGCGTTTTGTTGCTCCTTCGAACGCCAAAAATGATATCTAAAATGATGATCTGCTCCTATCTTTCAGCAGGAAATACTAAAAGCAACAAGAAAACTGCAAGACAACTGGTAAGAAATACCCCACTGTTTGAGCAATTTCTCATGAAATAAAAGAAAGAGAAAGCAGATACTGACAGGAAGTATATAAGACCTGCATGGAACTCTCTTTTCTTGACAGAAATGAGAGTTCTCAACCTGCATCGCCAGATGCCTCGCTTTCTTCTATGAGTGATCACACACAATGGCATTATTATCGAGATAATTCAAGTATCATACCGTCGCATTCTCGGGCGTTCCAATTTCAAGCTTGTAAAAGTCGCCTGCGGATCCAGTCACAATTCCAATTACTCGATCCCCCTTCTCAGCAACGTACCTGCCAATTATCAACTTTTCATTGGATTTCGATTCGGTTGGGAAAATTTTTGAGTTGGAGATGTAGCCGTTAATGGTAAATACCTTTTGGAATGTACACTTATCCAACACTTCTCTCCTTCATGCTTGAAGATTCCCGGCTGTCGAGCAACCAAAATATCCGAGTTGGGATCACGACCTATTCCGTAGCTGGAATATTATGAGCATATAATCCATAGAAAGACTTACAAGGAATCACCTCATCATTTAGTATCACTCTGGAAATTGTTAGTATATAGAGGTCAACCTACCCAATGATCTTTGTATTTTCTTTTGGTATTCGTGTACTTAAGTCTTCTCCAGGCAGACAAACCAAGGACATGACGACTTTAATGACCAAGCACTCTTCACAAAACACAAGCCGCTGCGCCGAGCTGTACCGCTATATCCGTTGTGCTTTCCGCAGCGCACAGCCCGCGCTTGAGATGACGACTCATTGACGAGAAATGGGCCGAATGCTGAACTTGCCGTATCCTTAGTGCTTCAAAGGTCTGAGCGAGTTCACGCTTCAGCCATTCTAAGACAGTTAACGACTTCGAATAATTCACCCAGCTTTCGGTAAGGTTTGTGGAAGT